TAAAGCAGTCAGAAAACAATATTAAATTATCTCCATAAGCAATGTCACACATGGAATTTTTGAAAGTTGGTTCCATTTTTCTTGTTTCTCTCCCCTTTGGAGATCATGGCACCATTTGGATTGAAGGAAAGGAAGGGAAAAGAAGGGAAAGGACACCAATGGAAAGGAAAGGAAAGGAGAGTAGAGGAAAGTGGCTTTCATCCATCTTGTTTGGATCAAGTATGGAAGGAAAAGGGAATACTGAATTTTTGTTTGGATTGAAGAAGGAAAACAAAGGAAAGGAAAGGAAAAGATCAAGTGTTAATTTACTGGAAAAGATAGAGAAAAATGATCTATTAAAAAAATTTAAATTATTTAAATTAATTTGGTTTCATTTCCCTCCGTTTCCACCTACTTTTGGGCAAAAACCATAACTCAACAAAACAACTAGACCCTTTCCCTCCCTATCCTTTCCTTTCCCTCTTCAAAAATCAATCCAAACAACAAAAACCGAATCACTCCATTTCCTTTCCTTTCCTTTCCCTCCCATTCCTTCAATCCAAGTGCTATGGGGCTAACACTAAGTGCCTTAACTATTCTTATTTTCTGCACTTCTCTCTCATGGGCATATGCCACTTTTCCTTCAGGCAAACCAGTAACTGCTCTTCCAATACAAAATGCGAACCTATGCACCTTTTATGCAGTAGGTATTTCATACTCTTCATGCTACATTTACAAAAATAGTCAGGCTTAAGTTGTAAAACATTTCCTGATAAATGAACATCCAAGTGCAAATTCAGTTGCTTTACTTTCACCCCTCATGAAACTCAAACTCCAGAAGTGCATTTTATGTTAATTAATTCCATTAAGAGTAGAGTCCTGTATATGCTTAAAAAGGAAAAAAGAGAGAAAAAAAAAGAAAAGCAAAAAGAGCATGATGTATAAATGCACTGATACAGTGAAAATTGTAGCTAACTCCATAGCCATTACCATACAAACTTTCCTTAACAATCTTAAACATGGGAACATTTACCTATTAATTTGAGGTAGTAAGAGAGTTCAGAGGAAAAAACTAAGAGCAATTACTCACCTCATTTTGGAAGATGAAAAAGGTTGACGACGAAACGAGATAATCTTATTGCTTTACTCTTTCACCAGGTGAGATGGTTTAACTTTTTTCATCAACAAGCGCCTTCTGGTTTTTCAGGTTTGTACATTTTGAACAGCATATTGACCTCTGACTGGGAAAAGACCTCTTCTAGTCATCTCATTTTGCAAGAAAAGAGCTTCATTAACGTCACCAAGCTCGTGATATTTCCTGATAAGGCAACCATATATGATCACGTCAGGAAGGACACCATTTTCAATCATCTCGTCAAACAAATTCCTTGCTCGTTGTATGTCACCACATCTTGAGAGTCCTGATATCAAAGTACTGTAGGCATGAAGATCAAGCTTCAAGCCAGTTTCAACCATTCTGTTCCGCAATTCCAAGGCATCCTCAACCTTTCCACTTTTCAAATTTCCATCCATCAAAGCCGTATAAGCAATTTTATCTGGAAATATACCCTTGTCAATCATTTCATCAAACAAACTTTTAGCATCCTCAATACGTTTACTTTTGCACAGGCCATCAATAAGTGCTGTGTAAACTACAACATTAGGTTGCAAACCAATCTGCTGCATTCTACTAAAACAATCAACTGCCTCTTGTATAGATCCCAATCTGCAATAACCATCAATTAACACGCTATAGGTCACAATTGTTGGGGAAATTCCTTTTCCCTTCATTTTATCAAGTAAACTGCATGCCTCAGCAGCTTTTCCTGCCTTAAAATATGCATCAACAAGTGTAGTGTATATCACATGATTCACTTTGACACCATGGCCCTTCATTTCATCAAGTAGACGCTTGGCTTCATCCAAATTCCCTTGACTGCATACACCCCAGACAATAGTTGCATATAGGAATAAGTCATGTTCAATTTGGTTTTCTTTCATTTGATTCAGAACTTCCATAGCATGTTCTATCCTGTTAGCTTTTATATACCCATGAATAAGAGCTGTATATATCTTCGCATTTGGGATTATCCCATCTTTCTCCATTGCAATGAAAACTTCCTCTGCTTCCTTCATCTTCCCTTCTTCACAAAGGCCGTCTACCAATACGGTGTAAGTAACAATGTTCAACTTGCATCCCATTTCCAACATCTCTTTGAGTAGTTTTAAAGCATCATCCAATTTACCTGCTTTACAATTTGCATCAATTAAAGAAGTATATGTAAATTCATTAGGAGTAAGACCAACTCTCCACATGTCCAGATAAAACTTGAGAGCCTGTTGCAATAGTCCTTCTTTGCAAAAAGCATCAACAAATGTGCTATAAGTTACCGTATCAGGTTTTAAACCACTGTCCTTCATCTGACGGAGAAAATCAAATGCTTTAGGCATTTTCTCTGATTTACAAGAACAATTAATCAATGTATTATATGTAATCACATCAGGGGGACACCCAGCATCTTTCATTTCTTCATATAAACCAAACACATCCTCCAAATGGCCAAATTTTCCATATCCATCTAAAAGAGTATTGTAAGTAATAGTATCTGGACTAACACCCATCTGTTTCATCCGTGCAAACAACCTTTGTGCTGATTCCAAGTCCCCTTCTTTACAGAAAACATCAATCATAATATTGTACGTATATACCGACAAAACAATCCCAGCGTCAATTACATCTCCAAAAAACTTATTCGCCATGATTGCATCATCCTTCTTAGAAAGCCTATGCAAAAGATGATTACAAGACCGTAGCTTTGGAAGAACTCTATACCCTCTCATCCTCAAAAAGCATTCGCTTGCTTCCTCAAGCAAGCCTAACTCAACAAAAACACTAAACAATGCGTCAAAAACTCCATAACCTGGAAAGCAAATATTCCTTGTCGCCCACAAAACATCAACTATACTGCAACAAGGGGACACCTTGTTGCCATTATTTAAACTAACCAATTCTTTAAGAACATAATTGGCTTCAGAATAAAACTTAGAACAGAACAAAATGTGGGCAATTATACAATAATTTTCTGTAGTATGACAAAATTTATCCTGGGTTTTTGCCCAGTGGAACAACTTCAGAGCCAATGTAGGTTCTTGCTTCAACTCAACCAAGATTCTGGAAACCCAAATGGGAGCTAAAGCAGATTTAAGCAATCCCAATATCCTAAAATCATCCCATCTACCTTCATTCACAATTTTCCTTATCATTTCCTTGTCAAATCCTTTATCATTTAATCTACCACTAGAACCAGCAGCTTCTGAGGAATATGGGCTTTGAAAAAAGCAATAAAAACTGGTGACCAACATCATGAATTCCCGTGGAAAAGCACAAGATGAAGGAATCAAATGCGGGGCAGAGTGCAATCTTACTGGGTAAGAATGAGCTTTTCTGATGAATTTGATGCTGCCCAAAAGGCTGCGGACAATAATTAACATGGCTACACCAATAAAGCAAATCAAAACATCTTCAGTCATTGCTTCCGTTGAGATATTAAACCAGCAGCTTTCATTTCTGCATACGTTTTCTTTCTTCCCTTCAAAACGCAAAATCAGAGTTTTGAATAATGATGGAGAAAGGGAGGGTTTTTAGGGTTTATGATGCACTGCTTTTTGATGGAAGAAATCAAGAAAATTGTTGAAGAAAATGGTAGGAACTAGGAAATCAAGAAATTGGGTGTAAAATGCGGCCCAAATTTTCATTGGGCCCAATCCATTTCCATAAAAATATGGGTTATCGCGTTGTGCTGATTGGGCCTTATCAAGCTTTCTCCAGTTAGGTTAAGGAGCTTACTAAGATTTTTTTTTTTCCCCTCTTTCTGTCCTAGAAGTATACATAATTACTATATAACTAGTTTGTATATTGAATTGTCATATGATGTTATGGAATGAAATTATTAGGGTAGCAATGATAGAACTGACGCATGGAATAAGTAACAATTATGTAATGTCCTCCAATTTTCTAATTTAATGTGTAAAAGTATAATTTTGAAAGTAATTAAGAAGGAATGCATAACCAATTACTGGCATTGGAAATATTGCTCGACGAAAATTGTTTTTTCAAAAAACCAATAATTGGCCTTGGAAAAGTTGCTCCATGCAAAACCATTTTTCTTGCATTAATGTCCATTTTATGTATGAAGCCAATATTAAGTTATGTTCTGATTTTATATCCTTAACTATCTTTTTTTTTTTTCAACACAGGGAGTATCCTAACTTTTGCCAAACTAATCTCCCTGCGTCTGTGCACCCCGTCCCCCAAGGATATACAAACGATAGAGAAGTGATTCGAACACACGATTTCGGAACCTAACTAGGCTACCCCGAGACCATCCGGAACCTTAACTGTCTTATTTGGTTCTAGGTTTTCCGACTCTTTGTGGGATTTGTTGTAGTGCTACTGAGTTGTAATTGTAGAAATTCCCAACATTCGTAGTTTAGTTGTTCGTTAATTGTATTACTCTCACTATTATGATCTTCTTAAAATCTTATCCAAAAAAAAAATTCATTTGAATTTAAATCAGATTTATATGTACTTTACATTCTGAAAACGTACTATTTCTCTTCTATCAACTTATTACCGTTGTCTTAGTACACATTTTTATTGGATCTATTGTTGAAATTTAGAGGTTATATCAGTGACTCTTGACCTTTCTTTAGACATACACACATTTTGCACACCTTCACATCTCATCTTCATTTGTTCACTAAAATTTGCAGCTGATGCACAAAATATATTTGTACTATAAAATAAATTGTGGCAATACATGAAAAGAACAATATAGAAAGAAATAATGGTCCAATGCTAAGATAAAACCCAGAAGGGATGTATTCTCTGTCAAATTCCATATGGAAAGTGAATGGATACAAAATACACTGATGTGATGTGATCTCCTCCGTAAAGGGAGCACTATGTATAGAAAGTTTATGTGATCATCAAACATAACATTTGGATCTAAAAGGAAAAATCAAACATCAAAATGCTCCAATTGTACGTCCTTTGACTTCAATGGTACATACTCCCCAAGGTAAACTTCAAGATGATCTGCCAATGAGGACTTGTCAATGTTCTCATGATGGTAAGACTTGCAGATGAAATAGATGATTGTCTGAACAATGAGCCCAAAGAGGATCAGCATGGACAGCAATGCAAGGGAGAGCATTCCATAGCCAATTCTCAAGACAAGGCCACCCCCATTTCCAAGAACAACAAACCATTCAAATGCCATCTGAATACCAAAGAAGCAAAAGTTGTGGATGACAAAAATCACCATTGAAACTCCAGCTTTGCCTTTGATGAGGTCTTGGCTCTTGATCATGGCATTCAAGCCATAACTTTCTTCTAAAACAGAAACCACACTAGCCAGATGCCAAATAACACTAATGTACACAAATCCTACCAGAAATACCATAAAAAGGATGAAAAGAACTGCTCCTGAAAACACCCCAGGTGGTATTAGGGTCATGAAGACAAAGAAAACAAGTATTGCAACAATATGGTAGCCAAAAATAATGACAAAGTTCCATAGGAATGTGACTATTAGCCTCTTCCAAACCTTTGGGACGACGCTCATGATCTTCTTGAAGGCTATATCTTTTGCTGTATAAATACATGCAATCGTATAAACAACAGCTGATGTTGAAAGAAGGGCTAATACGAGGAAGAAGATAAAATAACCTATTTTGAAGAGCATAAATACTGTCCATTCGGACGAAAGGATGTCTGAAATTTTATCGTAGGTTGGAGTTCCCCTTGGAATTCTGTCTAGAATAGATTCATCACGAACAATATTCGTGAAGAGAGATTGAGAAATTTGTATATGAGCTAGATAGATGAAGGAAAGAGGAAAGATCAAAGCCAATGAAATTTGGCTGAATATTTTTCTCCATGCAGGGACAATATTGATGGATTCTTTGATTATGCCAAAGAATCCAAGAAATTGAATTTCTTCTTGTTCTTTGTCCATGAATTTTTTTTTTTTTTTCTGTCCTATACTAGAAAAGAGAGAGAATGGAGATGAGGGAACGGAGAAGATGAGATTGATGTTGTTGAGGCTCAGAAACAGAATTGGTAGCATATAGACGATGCCTTATGGGTTGGGGCCGGGAGACTTTGACCTGTCACAATTAGGCGTTGCATTTTTTTTTCCAAGTCAAGAAAAAGGCAACAACCAAGATGCTTCCCAGTTCCCACTTCTTCCCACTGCCAAAAAAATCAATTTCCTAATTTTGCAATTCAGAGAGGAAGACTTGACTTCTGGGTTGGACGTAGACCTGAATCAGTAGATTCCTGAAAAATAAAAATAAAAAATATGCAGAAGAGAATATTATATTTGGTAGGTTCTCCACCCAACTCCCCTTTGGCTTTTTTTTTTTTTTTTGGGAATTTATAATCAAGTTGTGATTGAACTTTTGATCAACTCTAGCAAATATTTTCTTTTTAGAAGGAGAAAGATTTATGAGCTCATTAAATTTTCTTAAACTTTTAGTTGAGTTATGATTGACCATTCTTCCTCACAATGCATCTAGCAATAGAAAAAAGTATTTTATCTTTTGATTGTTTTTTTGGAACTTCAATATAATAATATTCTATTAATTTTTTAAATCCGTAGTATCAAATATTTGTTTTCCAAATCTATTTATATCTGTGTATGATTCATGTACTTTCTATCATTAGTGCAAATTTAATGAAATGATAATAATAATGTTGTTCATCAAAAAAATAATAGCTTAATTTAAGTTTTTTTACCAACTTGAATGAGTGGACTACCTTCAAAGGATGTGAAAATTTTTCACTCAATTGTAACAAACTCTTTTCACCTAACTTAATTTGGTCAAATATCAAAACGAATAAATCAAGAAATCTGTTGTGTTTTTTTTTTTTTTTTTTATCGAGATGGGGACTAGTAGGTACACAAATCTTACTAGATCAAAGGGATGCTTTGGCATTACCCTTAAATTTTTTTTGCTACAGGTGAAATTTAAACTCTTAGCTACAGTTCAAAGAGAAACTTAAGTCCCACTTGGTGCCACTTAGGGCTGTCAACGGTCCGGGTCTAGATCCGGACCTGAACCGGATCCATCAAAGTTATCCGGGTCTGAGTAGGGATTTAATTCCGTCACCTGGACCCGTACCCGGATCCGTTTTGCCAAACAAAAAAACGGGCTTGACACGGAATATAGTATTCCGACCCGTATTGGACCCGGATCCGGATATAAATGGATTAATAATTTAAAATATATATATTTATTAATATAATTTGATTATGATGATGTATTTGAGTAATCAATATAATTGGACCCGGATCCTAATCAATATAATTTGATTAGGGTGATGTATTTGAGTAAGGTTAATTTGATTTCTTTTCTTATTTGATTTTTTTTGTATTAGTTAGAAATTAGTTTATAAATATATATTTTTTTTTCTCATTTTTGTTAGAAATTATAAATTTTGTCAGTTTTTTTCGGGTAAACCCGGATCTGGATCTAAAACATAGAGTAAAGACCGTCGGATAAACGGGTTGGATCCGGATCGATGTAGTGTACAGGTCCAGATTTGAAATAATGAATTCCGACCCGAATCCGGTCCATTGACAAGCCTACTGCCACTGAGCTTGGCTCATGGTTATTGGGTTGTTAATAAACCTTTAATATGCATCAATAATAATGTTGGAAACTTGACAGCAGGAATGAGACATATTGCGTGTTGACTTTTCTTATTGACCGACCGTGTTGGAAATCTAGAAGGTCCGCATGGTCGCAGCTTACACCACACGGTATGGATAAGAGAATAATAACGAGAAAGATTTGGGCAATTTCAGAGTTTCTAGCGATAATCTTGGGTTTCGAACGCAAGAGATTTTTCTTCACTTCATTTTGCTTTTGACATGGAATTCTTTTATGTCAAATTCAGTTTTGATCACTTGTTTTTTTTATCAAGAATTTATGTGCACGTATTCTAATAAAAAATACTACAAAATACTAAAATGTTATACATATAATTACAAATAACAAGACAAAAAGAAAGGAATTACAGTACAATAGCTAAGTAGAATTCCAAGAGATACAATAATAATGTATTTTTACTTCAAAGCTCTATAATTGACTAGATCAAACATTTCCAATTTCCATCGTTAACTCCAGGCCTCCAGCTGCAGATGTTGTAATATATGTTTTATAGTTGTTGCTAGTGTATAAGCTTACACCCTTCAAATTTTGTAAAAATATTATTTGGGACAATTTTTTTGAAAAAGGTACTGTAACACTTTTTTAATGCGATGTATAGGAGAGAAAATGATGATTAAAAAATTGTTGATGATGGAAGTAAATAAATTTTGACAAAGAATTCACTATCCAAACAAACCGAGCTTAACAAATGAGATAACAGAAAGGGAAATTTGGAATAAAATTTTATCATCCCTCGTTAACTGAATTTTTTAGGCTTAAGCTAGACGTGTTGCAAAACTAAAAAATTGAATTAAAGGAGATCAGTGCGATTTTTTGGAGTTCAAAGGTTTTGAACTTTTGATTGAGTATTATAAAGTTTTTTGTCAGAATAACTCTCTTTCTAAAAAATATTTCCAATGTGATTGACTTTCAAATTTTATATCCATAAAAATGTTATTATTGCGGCCTAATTATCCTGGTTGCCATATAGAATAATAGGAAAGAAAAGCTTCAATCCAGTAGTAAATATTCTCAAAAAATAATCCCCAATTAATATTGTTTCAAATTTTGTTCTCATGTTAATCTATTTATTGCCACATAGATTCCCAAATTAAAGGAAAATGATCATGTCTGAAAATTTCGCTTGAAATTTCCAATCTATCAACAGACCGATTTGTTTGGATAGAGGATTATTTATTTGTCAAAATTTATTTGCTTACGTCATCATTACAATTTTCAATACACTTTTTTATCTTCCCAATTATCTTTTTATCTCACATACATCACATCACAAAAAGTGTTACAGTAAAAATATCTCAAATAATTTACAATCCAAACAGTTCTGCATCACACTTTTGATATTGATCAAACTTTATTCATCTATTGATATTTATCAAACTTTTATTGGTTATTCCAATACGCATTCGTATCAGTTGGTATTAGACACTCAAGGGGAAGTTTCTGAAATTATCCCATAAAAAAAAAAACAATTTACTATCATATTTACCCGTTGTCCTTTCTAATGAATCAATTATGCCCCTCTAAACTAGAGCTGTTAATCGAGCCGAGTCGAGCCGAGTATTTGGCTGCCGAGCTCGACTCGAGTTTAATTCGAGTCGAGCTCGACTCGAGCTCGTTAAGAAAACGAGCTTTAAAATGTGTTCGAACTCGGTTCGTTAAATGTACATGTGGCTCGAGCTCGACTCGTTTATCACAAACGAGTCGAGCTTCACGAGCTCGAACTCGAGCTCGTGCAAATTAACATTAATAAAAATCTATAATTTTTAATTTATATAATTTTGATTTCTAAAATGACAAATATATCCTTTATTAACGAGTTCTAACGAGCTACTCGAGTATCAAACGAGCCGAGTAAACTAAACGAGCATGTTTCGAGTTCGAGCTCGACTCGTTAACCAAAATTAACTAGCCGAGCTCGAGTCTTAACGAGCCGAGCTCTAACGAGCTTTTGAGCTACTTGATTGGCTTAACAGCTCTACTCTAAACACACAGCCTTACAATTACAGAACCACGCCTTCAAGCCTACTGGCAGGGCTCAGGCTGGACCCCGTGGCTACCCATCAACCCGCCATATCCCTTCTCCGCCACCGTGCTGGTGAGGGCTCTCGTCTTCTTGTTCAGTTACCACGGGTATTTACGAATTCCTGTTAGTGTCTTTGTATTTGTTGTCGTCTGAGAAGACCACTACCTGTTTGCTAAAATGCTTCAAAGAAGATAAATTGACTTGGCTCCGCAGAGCTTTATGGAATATGGACTCATTTCAGATAATTTAATCTGGGTTTTCATCTACATGGAATTTCGTCCAACACTAATCGAGGGAGCCATTAATTACTTCAGTGATGGAATACTTTGGCAATCAACATTTTAATGTGAAAAAAAATGCAACATTTTACGTTAAAAGTAAAAAAACTTAATGCAATTTTAAAGTTTTTCAACCTCAATGTGCTACTTATGGATGTATGTCTGTTTTGTTTCTGCACGGATTGCCCGTTTTCATCTATTGATGCTGTTTCAGCTTTTGAAGATGTTTTCAAAATCTTGCTACTGAAAGATTGATTGATTTTTAAGTTTTTCTTTTCTTTTTTACTGTAAGGTCCTGTAATTTATTTTTGTTGTCTGAGCTGGAAGACAGAAGAAGAATTTTGCTTAATCATTGAAGTGATGCTGAAAGTTATTCAGGCTAAACAATGCTAAATTTGAAATTGTTTTCAGTGAAGCTGCTTTGGATTTTCACTCTGCCATCTTGCTGAGCTCGGTATCATTTTGCTCACAGGTATGTGATATTCAAGAATATTCAGGCTAAGCCATGCTAAAATTTGAAATTGTTTTCAGTGAAGCTGGTTTGGATTTTCACTCTGCCATCTTGCTGAGCTCAGTGTCATTTTGCTCACAGGTATGTGATATTCAAGAAGGTCCAGGTTGTCAATCTGTTATAGTTGTTCATCAATCAAATGTTAGCTATGTCTCGTTGTTGAGCTTTGCTAACTTCAGTTTTGGTATCATATGGCTATCGCTTGATACTTTTATATAGATTCTAAATTACATATAGAACAAGATTCCATGACCAGAAATTTTGTTATCAAATTTTGTAAAGGCTGCCTAAAGAAACTTTGTTGCAATTTTCTCCATTCTTATGTAATATTTGGTCCTGGAGTCTCAATGAATCAATACTGACGTTTAAAAAGGTTTGTTCAATTATGCTTTAAAATCCAATTGTATGGAACTGAAGTTTCCAAAGATGTTGTTTGAATAATAGTTCGTGAAACTGTTCATCCAAACAAAAGTAACCAAAAAGAAGTCCTAAGACCTGATTCCTTACTTTATGTTCATGGTCTGATCTCATTTTTCTAAAACTAAAATGGCATATTTTAGTTGTCGAGATAATTGCATGATTTAAGAAACTTTACAAGAATTTAGGAGATTATATCAACTGACAACTGCTGAAGATTTTCAAGAAAATGATACTTGGATGCGGCCTTTGAGTTGGTTTGTTAGGTTTCTTCTAAACACATGTTGGTGGTATTATTTATATCCTGTTTCAAATTGGTGGCAGGAAAGGCTTTAAAACTTGATGCACAACGAGTCATTGATACAAGAAAACATGCTAGTTACATTGCGGTCTCGTTTTTTCACCCTGCAAGTCACGTCACTTCTTCAAGCACCCCAATTTATCTCTCCAAAAAACCCCCTCCTTTCTCTATCTCACAAACTCCAAATGTTTGAAACGCCAAAGTTAAACTTGCATTATTGTAACCATGCATCCTTTGCAACAAAAGGCTCTAAACCTGGTCCAGTTTCTGAAACCAAAAAATTCATAGAAAAAGTATTATTTGTGCCCCCTGGAGTTGGCCCAGAAGAGGTTACAGATGACTTGATCTTACCTGGTTCAAATATTGTGCTTGGACCTTATGCTGGTGATGCTAAAATTAAAGAGGTTGAGTTTGTGAAAAGTAGTAATCGGCCCAAGGACTGTCCGAAGGATGACCGACCTGAATTTGCTATGTTGGGCAGGTCCAATGTTGGCAAGTCATCGCTCATTAATGCTCTGGTTCGCAAGAAAGAGGTTGCTCTCACATCCAAGAAGCCAGGTTTCTGTTCTCAAGTTACTTGAAGAAATTAGTGATAGCTTGTAAATTTTTTTGGTTTGGTTCTAATCAATATAAATTTGATTTTGTGATAGGGAAGACTCAGCTCATTAATCATTTCTTGGTGAACAGAAGTTGGTATATTGTGGATTTGCCTGGTTATGGGTAAGCTTACTTTGAGTTTCAACATAGCTTTGCATATACTCATAGTATATGCATAAGTTTTGCCTTTGTGGATATGGATGAGTTCTACTTACTGGATAGACGTGAAATACAACCCCAATCACTAGAAAATACCTAACATGCATACAATAAAATTCAAAAAGAAGTTTCTTTTCTTTGTTTTTTCTTGAGTAAAACATCAAAAGCTGAAAATCCTAAATCCTTCCCTCTCCCACACTTAAATCTCACATTGTCTCCAACGTAAATCAAATAATCACTTCAAAATATGACATAAAGAGATGGAGTAAGAGATTAAATCTGGTGTGGCTGGGTAATTACTACTGAAAAGATAGTTCTTGTTTTACATTGATGTGCTTTGTTGCAGAATTAGTTAGGTCTATAAAGATTGCCATTAGTTTGATGCCCTTTAGGGAGTTTAGCTCATGAAGAATATCGCCATAATGTATCGTAGTCGAACAACTTGGCTAGGGTGTTGGAGTTGTATAACCAGGATACTAGGAGAAGTACCCCAATTAAAAGTTGACTATAGTAAGCAGTTACTTTCAGTAACACATGGTAATAACAACTAAAGCTGCTTTACTTGCCAAATTTGTAAACAATGTTCCATTTTGTTTTCTGAGGATGTAGAATAATGGCCACCTCACATTAACAAACCAGTATCTCATCTATTTCTGAAGAGAATTCTGTTTAAGCAGCTTCTTTCATAATTAATCTGTAATTTAATGCTTATACTGTGAAACCAATTAGTTTCCCCTATTAGCATCTCAGTTCTTTTGATATATTTGTACATACTAACCTTGGGTGTCTTGGTGAGTAGTGTGAGTTTGACTGTTGGTTTGTCTCATGTAACCTTCTTTTGTTTACAGTTTTGCTAATGCCCCTGAAGCTGCTAGAATGGATTGGTCTGCATTCACAAAAGGCTACTTCTTGAACCGGGAAACACTGGTCTCTGTTTTGCTTTTGGTTGATGCTAGCGTACCACCTCAGAAAATTGACCTTGATTGTGCAAATTGGCTTGGACGCAACAATGTACTCTGCTTTCTATGTCAAGCTAATATCAACCTTCTACTGATTTTGCTATCATTGGCTTAAACTAATTATTTTTCGTCTTTTCTTTGTCAAATGTTCAATGTAGCTTCTCTTAGTTTCATGAGTCATTTGCAAGTTGCTGATTATCATTGTCTTTATTCATCAAAATTTCAGATACCCATGACCTTGGTTTTCACCAAGTGTGACAAAATCAAAGAAGGCAAAGCAAAGAGGCCTGGTGAGAATATTCGAGACTTCCAACAACTTATCAGGGAAAACTACAAGCGACATCCTCCATGGATAATGACTAGTAGCATGACTGGTTTGGGGAGGGATGAGCTTCTTTTGCATTTGTCGCAATTAAGGAACTACTGGAACAATGAATAGCAAATGTCGGACCCTTATGGAATGCACTGAAATGTAAGATTATCAATGATGATTCTACATCGAATGAGTTTGTTTCTCTGAGAATGGACAACTCTTCATATGCGATCAGCTAAAGTTGTAGAAGGCTGCCAGCTGACAGTATGTAACATTTTTTTCTGGACAAATGTAGATAAATTTTGAGCGCCTCCTATTGTAGCTGAAACTATACATGTCTAATTTTGGTGCTAATTTCAAAAGTCTAAATATCTTGGTGTTCAGTCAAGATTTTCAGTTTAATTTCCATATAGTGATACTTTGGCTGGGACCTCTTTCTTATCCTCGTACTCTCTCTTACACGTGTTAGTGTGTGTTCTTTCCCTGCTGCAATGAGGCCAGAGGTCAAAGGCCTAGCTAAACTGTTAAAGTTCCCTTTTTACCTACTAACAAGGTGCTAGCAACTTCACCAGGGGCTGTACAAGGTAGTGCAATACTGTAAACTATGACATATTTGCTATGGTATAAGCTGCTCTACTCCAACTGCCCTCCCATCAAGTGTGCTTGAACTGAATTTGCCACTGCTTCTCCATTAATATTCTATAATCCATCACTTGTACTGTACATACAATTGCTCATGAAAGAAGCAGTGGCAAATTACTTGTACTGTACCAAAAAAAAAATTACCCATGAAAGAAGCTTGCACAGCCAGCCGGAACTCAAGTACCAATCACCATTTTGCTATCCTTCTTCTGGTGCCAGACAAAGGATAAGTTATATCTAGCTATCACAACCCAGTTTTCTGTCATGGTTCTATATTCATTCAAAACTTTCCAAAGGCCAACGTGGTGGAACCAGCTGGATGATCCAATTGGCTTTTGCACAATACTTTAAATCGGCTGTGACCAAGGCGACCTGATTTGGGACCCTGAAAAACAAGTTTGAGCAGCCTGCGATTGTATGTCAAATTGAAACCATTTGCCGTGAGGTCTATAGTTTATGCTTGCAGGTGGGAAGACCTTAAAAGAGTTTCCCACCCCCCCCCCCCCCCCCCCCTATTTTTGTGGCTTTGGCTCTTTATAGATAGTTATATTATATGTATGGTAAGTAGTGAAACGGACAGGAAATTACAGATTCGTTATCAAATGCTACCTTTTTTTTTTCTGGAAACGATAGGAATTTTCATTGATGAGTCAAAAATTGTACAGCATTTGAGCAACGACTCAACCATCTATACATAAGTGTACCATGACACTTAAGGAGAGATATAGATTCTCTCCTCATCCATTAATATGCCTACTGCATATTCACTAATACTCATGCATAAATTCATATTATCGGTATTTGCTACACAAAAAAAGCACAATTGAAACAAGCTAACTAGGCTATTAATGTCTTCCACTAGTGTCGACATTCCAATGTCTTTCGCTGCTCCAGCTTTAATCATAGTGATTAGCTGTTTATTCCTTGAGCTAACTCTGATTTTCTGCCACTGTTGTTCTTTTGCCTTGATCATTGCTAGCCTTATCGCTTCAGCTTCATCTTGTAACTTCTGACTGGAGCTTCTGTCCTCTACTTGTGCTTAATGTTGTTACAAGATAGTATACCAAATAAGCAGTTAGAACTTTTGCTTCAAATTTACATGCATTTCTTTATATTGCCTCGTCTCCATTAAAGACGTGTATAAAATCAACCTTTCTCCATTTTTTTCTTCTTCCTGACATGTTGATTCACGGAATAAAATCCAAAATTCTTTGTTTAAAAATTTCAAGGACGGATAATTTGCATACAAAGCCACCTCAAGGTTATTTGATGGTGGATCCAAGATCCATGTCCGTGTGGTTACATTCATCACTAAGAAGAAAATATATGCATACAGAAGAAAAAAAGAAATAATAGAAGCATAATGAAAGAAGATCACAGAGAAGATCATTACAATTTAGATCCAATTAGAAGTGCTTGACAAAAATTTAGATACATCTTTCTGGGAGCTTATAACTTAGAGAGGTCATCCTGGGAATTACTTTACATAGTTCACCATTTCCAGAACACATTTGAACCACACTTGAACTTGTCCCTGCCTTGGCACTCCAGCTCCAAATCCTCAGTAAGAAAGGGCACTTTCTGCAATTTGTCAAAAGAGCAAATGACAGTAAAATTGCAACACATTTTGTTGAATTCATTAACAGGAAAAAAAATGACTATATTGCGTATACTGATCAAACCTTTTGCTTGGCCAGGTCTTGGCAGCCAGTGAAGTTTTCAGGGAACTTGCATGTGCCAAATTGAACCGTGTATGCTCTTGCAAAGTTTGCATCGGTTGTGGCTGATCTTTTCCTGTCATTCAGTTCCTACAATGACAAAAAATGATATCTGAGTCAAATCAGATTGAATTCATGTCATCTGTATGATGATATAGTGCAAACGTCCAGATTATGCAGAATAGTTTGTAGCAAGAATGTCCTAGGAGACCTTGTTGGCTTTGCTCTTTTCAAGGTATTCCTCAATTACACCAGCATTTGCAGAGGAAGTGGAAGCAGCAGCTGTAAACAGGGCAGCTGCAAGACAAAGCATTGCTGCTCTTCTTCCTTGGGATTCTGATTCTTTTGATACAGAAACTCTAGTTTGCTGTGCCTTGATTATTGGCAGTTTCTGACCAACTGCAACTGAAGATGGCACAGAAACAAGCTTTGAGCTGAGGTCTGATGACCCCATGCCTGAAATGGCATAGTTGCAAGCCAATACACTGGAGTTCATGGTTGCCATTTCTTGATCAAAAGAAAATCTTTGTCACTAAAGATGAGCAGGGATTAGCTTAGAAAGAATGGAGAGTGGATTTTTGGTTTATGGACAGCTGATTATGTCTGACATGGAAGGTTTGGATGGTGATATGGAATTGAGGCTGTGGTTGGAGTGTGGATAAGGTGAGATTTCCTCACTCCCATTGGCAAATTTGCCTACATGCTAATTTCTGTGGTGAGCTTCAACTACTGGGATCCACCTTGGACACTTAATATGTGCCATGGATCTCCTTTCAAAGGACTGAATATGCCACATTTCTACGATATAGGCTGATATATATATAATATCAAAGTTATTTCTTGTCGTTGATGCAACAACATAAAAAATTTGAGAGAACTTGGTATGTGTGTGTATTTATATACATACATATATATATATGTGTGTGTATATGACATCCTTCTACGTCGGTTCACAAAATTTGATCCTTCCATGCCTGTTTGGTTAGCTTGATTTGCAAAAAGGAATTTTCAAATATTATTAAACTTGCATCATAAACATAAATTATAATTATCTCATATACATCACATATACAAAATATTACAGTATTATTCCAAATATTTTCTTCAAATAATCTTCTATCCAAACCTTTACTAGCTGGATTCCTAAGGAACCCGGTGACAGCCTAAACCTTCTTGAGACTTGAGCAAGTTTTGATTCAATGCACCAGCCTACTAAAACAAACAACCACAAATATAGACCAATACTAGTGTGACACTATTTGGCAACTGAATAAATAAATTAAACTAGTTTAAAGTATACAACAGTAAATCTTCTAAATTTTGACAAATCTAAGGGGAGGTCACTCTGATTTTCGAAAGATAAGTGAAAGTTACTAAAAACATTTTAAGAAATAAATAAACTTGAGGGACCTAAAACCAAACATATCATTTTCATTTGCATTTGAAGTATGCTTGAGAACTGGGTTGGGGGCCCTTGGGCTTCATGCGAGGGGTAGGCTTAAAGAGTAATGATCAAAAGTCCGGGTACCCAATCTGCGTTCAGACTGAGTTGGTTTTGTTTCATAGTGGGTCAAACGTTGAAATTTGGAAACCTGCAAGTACCCAACCTGTCCAATTTTTTGAACGCCTGTTGCATGACATCGCACGATGCGCGACCGTGTCTAGATTTAGAATTTGGGAGGTAGATATGACTGCGATTCCAAAACTTACGATTTCGATTTAAAAATCGATGATTTCGATTCTTTTGAAAGGTGAAACTTAAACCGGCTCTTATAGAGATGGTTATAATTACGATTCTTGAATCATCGGTTCCGATTTTTTTCGATTGCATTTTCAGTTCTTTTAGTTATGTTTAAACACTTATTATTATAAAATTGATTATAAGAAATTATGACAATGAACATTAAAAAGCTCTATTGTATTATCATGTGCAAGAAAAAAGAAAAATGTTGCAAATTTTATGAAAAATATCTCATTGTTGATTAAATTAGATTGATTTTCAATTTAAATTAGTCATAGGGTATAGACTTATTAATAGAATAGGGCAATGGGTTGTTGGATTAGTATTAACAGCTGGTATTAGGTGTTGATTATTGATATCAAAATCTAAATTGACTAAGTAAGTTTAGGTGACAAATATTTTTTTAAACAGTTTCAACAGTCACAAACTGCCGGTTCTGGTTCAAAATTTTGGTGAAACTGAATCTGAACCTCTAGCTATGAATATGATTCCAGTTCCAGTTTCCAAATTTTGGTTCCAGTTTCGGTTTAATAAACTGTCTGGTCAGTTTCGATTCAATTGGCAATTTTACTTGATATCAATTTTGTACGCAAAGGATCATTTGTCTCCCTTCTCATATTCTCTATCTCAATATTTATTAAATCACCATATATATTACATGAATATTCTCATGAAAAAGAAAAAGAGATATTTATGAAAAATATATGGTGATTTAATAGATGTTGAAACTAAGAATAGCACAAACAGTGGGAAAGAAGATCCTTTACAAGTTTTGTGGGATGAATAGTGTGTTTTCATTGTTGTTGAAATCAATACACAACTTAGATATTTAGCCATGTCTGAATTGAATTATTTCTGTCAATCTTTTGACTTTGCTTTATGCATAAGATGAATTGTGCTTTTTAAATTCTATTTGACAGAAAAAAACAGTCTCTTGTCTTAGATAAACAAGCTTTACAACCCAGAAGATGCAAAACATTTATTCAAGGTAAACAAAATAAAAGAAGGAAGCTATGGTTTGTTTTAAGAATGGTGATAGCCAAACACTTGAGCAAATGCCACGGATTTTTCATAGGCTCTTGTGCTATATAAATCCATTATTAATGCTACTTTGAAATATCCGAATTTCATAAGGAAAAGATAAGAAGAGGGGAAAAGAGAAAAGCATTGACTACTTGAAAAAAGAATTTGCCAAACTTAACAAAAATTAATTAGTGCCAATAATTTGGAAGGATAAAAATGGCTTCGTTTGGATTAGCTGTTTTTTGGGGTGCTTTTAAAAAATTTTGGCCTCGTTTGGCAAGTGAAGTTTTTGGGTGTTTGTCTAAAACTTTACTGTAATTTACTATAGAAGTAAAAAAAAATTTTGAAGTGTGTTAATTTTTGGATATTTTGAAGTTTATAGTTTAAAATTTTTGAGAAATTTTTTGAGATTACTGTAGCTAAAGTTGTTAAAAAACTTGTAGCAAACAAATTTGGCAAAAAACTTGCTTACCAAACAAGGCTTGTAGCGATGTATATGAAAAATTTTTTACTATAGATGATTAGGTATTTTTGGGAGTATTATTGAGAGCGTTTTTGGGATGTTTATAAGAATATATTTTGAGATATTTTTAGAATTTAGGGGGCTTTAGTGAAATTTATTTAATTTTTTTTTTTAAATCTAACCTACCCGCTACCCCTCCCCTTCTTCCTCCTCCCTCCTCTACCACCATCACTACACCTCCACCTTCTCCTCTCTCCTCTCCTCCCTTCCCCTTCTCCTCCTCTCTCTTTATCCCTTTTCCTCTCCCTTCCCCTTCTCCTCCTCTCTCTTTCCTTGCAACCCCCTTCCCTCCCATTTCCCCTTCTAGTCAAGGCTCTCTCAACCTTTTGTTTTGTTTGATGTTTCTCGTTCTTTTTTTTCAGTCCATTTAGTAATTTTTTTAAAACATCCTAAAAGGTTCCATGTTAGCACATTTCAAACTTCTACCTATTGATGCCAATTTGTGTTTCGAGAAAGCAAACAGTCCAATTTCTAACCATCTAATGGAAGCATAGGACAAGTTTATTTTATTTTTTTTAAATGTCTTCCCTTTTTATTTACAAGTAGAGGTAAATAATTATATGGGGCCTCCCTCATGGCCTCTTTCGTTTTTCCTTCTTACTTGGCTTGGGAGATGGTGGAGATAGGGATGGGGGGTTGTTCTTTGATGGAATTTTGGAGAAAGAGGTGATGGTGATGATGTGTGGTGAATAGTGGCAGTGGGTGAAAAAAAGAAAAATGGGATAATAATTAGTAATTCTTTACATAATTTTTCTACTTTCGTAAGTTGGATTTAAAATTGTACATGTTTTTTAAGTTGTTTTTTGAGTGTTACTGTAGACTCTAAAAACAAAAATAGTTTTTCAAAAAAAGTGCTAATCCAAACAGAGTAAAAAGTTGTGATACAATTCCTGTGAGATTTAACATGTATAAATTTAGAATTTTTTACAATTGATTACAAAGTAAAAATAAAAAGCACAAAGAAAGCAATAATGGACCAGTCCATGTGAAAAAAGACAAATTCTAGAACAAAACCAAAAAAACCCCAAAAAAGCTTAGGGAAGGGACCAAACACCATCACCATGTGCAACTCCCACTTTTTCTATAGGAGAAGAAGAAGGAGGAGGTTACTGTTAACAATTTGTAATTTTCTGTAACAACAAATAACAAGGGTGAGTTTCAATGTTTCACTGTGTATAAATAACTTGAATGTGAATTCACAGTGCAAATGCAATACAACATAGTAGAGAGACTCTTGACCGGCACTTTGAGGGCAGAAAGCACAATTTGGGAATAGAATAGGTCAGCTGTAGAAGCTCCAATTGTTTTAGCAATTGCCAATTTGCAGTAGTTTTGTGACTTTTGTCGACAAAACTAAGGTGAAAATTTTGTGGCCTCAAGCGGCATTGGAAGCGAAAAGGCAATTATTGGCTGAAAATTGATTAGAAATCCAACGGATCAAGAAAACCCAACAACAAATAATTATTGCCATTAACACAAGATAAGAAAGCATTCTAAAGCCGGTAAGGACAAAAACCCAACCCTCTAGTGTCTATTTTTTGTGGCAGCAAAGAAATAAAAAGAAGCATCAGGGCAATTGTACTCTTATATTACTTTGTTATACTCACAAATTTTATTGATGTACATCAATTCAATTCATAAATACGATTGTATATGTAAATATATATCAATTGTACCTAATTGCATCTAAATCAATGCTATTTGTCCCAATTCATATAGTCAGCATACTTTCAGTTGCCAAATTTTGGAACTAAGAAAAAGCCAAAAAACCATTCATCGAGTCAAGATTAGAAAGAAAATGACGATTTAAAAGAAAGTTATACCATCTAAATTAGCTTTTTTTTAGTATAAGTGGGAGGGTTTGAATTCGAAACCTCTCGTTTATCTCCTCCCCGCCAAACCATCAAATTCATCTCTCTTCCCATCTAAACTTAGCTTGCTTAATATCAATGTAGTAATATTTTGGGAGGAACTGAATTAACACTTTTCCTTCTTAAATCTGAACACTGTACGAGTTTTAATAGGTATTACTACAAATCACTAATGCATCAAGCTCTAAATTTTGGATGATGTGGATTTAATCTACTATTATGTTCGTAGGAACAAATGCAAAGAGCCAGTAAAGTCATGCTCATTTGTTATTGGCCAACTTAAACAAAGGGTTTAAAAGGATATGCAATAAATTTAAAATCTATTATTATTATTTTTTTTTTTTGGCAAAATCTACCATGCTATATACTATGAATCTATGATAATTAATAGACAGTAAAAGTTGTTAGTATGGAAACCAAAACTCATTAATGAGGTGAGCCAATGTGGTGGGCTGCTCATGTAAATTGGTCTCCACCATGAATGTAGGAAGGTATTTCTTAAGAGGTATTTGTACCAACATTTTAATAGTAGGTATTAACCTATAGATTGTATAAAGT